TTCCCGGTTTTTCAGCCCAAATCCCGGGTCTCTGTGGCGCAATCGGCCAGCGCGTTCGGCTGTTAACCGAAAGGTTGGTGGTTCGAGCCCACCCAGGGACGGGGCGGCTCCTTTTCCTTCCCCGCGATCGTTAGCGAACGTGAATTAATTAAATTCGGCGAGGAGAGAGGCAACCCCGGCGCGCCGAATAAAAAAAAAAATTCTTCCTCGTTTCTTTATTCCCCTGAAGTTTGTGCAGTCTTTTTAAATTTAAAAGAGGGATTTTTTTCCCCCACGCACCGGGAGGGCCCTCGGGGCTCTTCCCCCCCTCAGGGCCCTTCCCTCTCCTCGGAGCCCCCTCAGGGCTCTTCCCTCCCCGTGGAGCTGCCAGGAGGGTCCCTCAGAGATCTTCCCTCCCCTCACAGCTCTTCTCTCCCCAAGGAGCTCCCGGGAAGGTCCCTCAGAGCTTTTCACTCCCCTCAGGGCTCTTCCCTCCCCTCACAGCTCCCGGGAAGGTCCCTCAGAGCTTTTCACTCCCCTCAGGGCTCTTCCCTCCCCTCAGAGCTCTTCCCTACCCATAGAACTCCTGGGAAGGTCCCTCAGGCCTCTTCCCTCCCCTCAGAGCTCCCTCAGAGCTCTTCTCTCCCCTCAGAACTCCCGGGAAGGTCCCTCAGGCCTCTTCCCTCCCCTCAGAGCTCCCTCAGGGCTCTTCCCTCCCCTCAGAGCTCTTCCCTCCCCAAGGAGTTCCCAGGAAGGTCCCTCAGGCCTCTTCCATCCCCTCAAATCTCTTCCCTCCCCTCAGAGCTCTTCCCTCCCCTCAGGGCTCTTCCCTCACCTTGGAGCTCCCAGGAAGGTCCCTCAGGGCTCTTCCCTCCCCAAGGAGCTCCCTCAGGGTTCTTCTCTCCCCTCGGGGCTCCCGGGAAGGTCCCTCAGGGCTCTTCCCTCCCCTCAAAGATCCCTCAGGGCTCTTCTCTCCCCTCAGAGCTCTTCTTTCCCCTCAGAGCTCCCAGGAAGGTCCCTCAGGCCTCTTCCCTCCCCAAGGAGCTCCCTCAAAGCTCTTCCCTCCCCTCAGGGCTCTTCCCTCCCCTCAGAACTCTTCCCTCCCCTCAGAGCTCTTCCCTCCCCTCAAAGTTCTTCCTTCCTTCCCCTCAGAGCTCTTTCCCTCTCCTCAGAGCTCTTCCCTCCCCTCAGAGCTCCCTCAGAGCTCTTCCCTCCCCTCAGAGCTCTTTCCCTCCCATCAGAGCTCTTCCCTCCCCGCCGAGGAGCTCCCTGCCCACCCGCCGCGGTCGTGGTGGATGTTGGCGGCGGCCCTGATTGCCGCCTTCATGGCGGTGTCTATCCATGCGTGGGGCTGCGCCGCGTGCTCGCCGGCGAAGTGCACCCGGCCCTCGGCGGCGAACAGCGCCCGCGAGTAGTCGGTGAACTGGTAAGGGGTGAAGGCGGCGAAGGCCCCCATGGCGTGGCCGTCCAGCTGCCACCTCTGCAGCACGTGGCGGTCGCAGGCCAGGCGCAGGAAGTCGCGGCTCACCCCGTGCACGTCGGCCAGGTCGCTCAGCACCACCTCCAGCGCCCGCTCGTCCGCCAGCGGCAGGAAGAACTCCGAGTCGCGGTTCTGGGTGTAGGAGGCCAGCAGGACGCCCGCGCCGCCCGAGAAGTTGTGGCTGGGGTAGTAGATGAAGCGGGACGGCCGGTCGGTGATGGATTGCCCGCCGCGGATCCCGTCCTTCTCCCAGAACTTCTCGGAGCAGACCAGGGCGATCTTGGCGGCGCCGGCGTAGTGGACGGAGCGCAGGGCGTGGGCCTTGGCGCGGGAGAGGGGCGGCAGGAACTGGATGTGCCGCGTGGCCTTGGCGGTGGAGGTGACCAGGACGTAGTCGGCCGCCGCCGCCGTCGGGGCCAGGGTGTCCGGGGCGCGGTAGAACACCCGCACCTCGTCCCCCTTGCTCACGATGGTCTCCACGGTGCAGTTGAAGCGGATGACGCCGGGCAGAGACTTCTGGAAGGCCTCGGGCAGTTGGTCGAAGCCGCCCGTGATCTCGTCAAAGCTGTCGAGGGGAGGAAGAAGATGAGGGCAGGACTTTAAGGAGCTCTGCCGGGGACGCCGGGAGCGGCCCCGGCTTGGAATCCCTCCGGAATTCCACCCGAAACAGGAGCCGGGCCTAAAAGAATCAACTGAGACATCTTGGCCTGCTAAGAAACCCCAACACCTGTTCTGCTGGAAGAACATTTTAGGAGCACTGGTGAACATCA